ACTCGCACTGGCCGCAAAATTTGGCACTACAGACATGCTTACTAGAAAGGGGAATTTATTCTCCAACTTAGCTTGGAGAGGTACTCGTTTCGCTGACTCAGATGCGTCGGCTGACTGTTCGTCAAGACCAACATTATCAACGTTGGGATGGAGGAATACATCCCTCATGCAGTGAAAGTGCCTAAACCATTGTCCAAAGGCTGGTTCAGCAAATCTTGCGACACTGCTCGTTGGCAGAAGATCAAGGCACACAGAACTTACTTACAAAACCCCTGTAGAGAACAGGCAAGCCGATGTCGAGTCCAGAAACAAATATCATGAAGTGGTTCGCAATGTAAATGTCTACCACGATGTAAAAATTAGGCACAGAATGATGGCATTGTTCCTCTTACATATCAACGACTTCCTTTCCTGTACGATCGACCCAATCCACATCTTTGCTGACTACAGCACTCTAGATGCAGGAATTCAGAGCGACAAACCAATCTCTGCCGATGAGCTGGAAAAAAGAAGATTAGCAGCGACTTTCTCTCCGACAAGAGACCTGGTGGTTATCACTGCCTGGGGACGCAACAATCTGATACAGGTTAATGCTTTCAAAACACGGTAGGTACTCTACCTTAACTAACAAAAAGCACCCTATCGCTCATCCGGTTTCGATGAATAGCAGAGCGATGCCTTTTCCCTAACGGACCCTTTCGCACCAACAGGTCGTCGGTGATCTAGCTCTCTTCTACCGCTATGTAAACGGACTTTGCTACTTAGAAGTTTCTTTCATGATCGGTCAGACAGACCCACTTGACTTCGGCTCCCATCCTAACCGTGTCTAGCTTCGTGCATCCACGATACGACCGCTCCTTTGTCCATAGGATCTCGAGATTGTGGAACAATCTGCCTGGGGCAGCTCTTATCAGTTCTACTAACTTTAGGTAGTTCAAAAGTCTGATTTACAGAGTTTTTTTAAGCTACGGCGCAGTGACATTTAAGCTTCTGACTACGCGACTGCTTCGGTATAAAAAGAAGAATAAATCCTCTTGTTACAAGGAATGCTAGGTTACATTTCTAGTATTTAATGTTACTAAACTCTCAAGTAGATTTAATAATGGGTTTTAATACTTATATTAGCAGAACTGCTCAACAACTGCAGCGTCACAAACTAGAAGGTAATAAAACTAAACATTCCGCAAGTTCTTCATAAAGCTGGATAGTTTTAAAGTGAGTTGAGACTAGACCATTTTAAAACTTCAATAAGAGAAATAAACTTTTAATATCCATTGATCTTATTTGATAACTGTATTAAATTCTTTGAAACCAGTATTAAAATGTCAGACAGATTCTGGTACATTTATGAGGTCACTTTAAAAAAATATCTTTTTATCCGCCACAATGAAACCGTTTTAAGCCTCAAATAAACCTCAAATGTGTTTGTGGTACTACTTGGGCCGGTATCTTGAAAACCGGATTCTTTATGTTTATAGGAACTTTTCTACTTAAATTTGACTGAGAAATGCAACCTTGAAATTACGGCCTATCATTAAGTAACACCATGTATAATATTTATAAGTATAGTTTGTATACATATTTCATGATATTTTTCACAAAAGTGATGTATCAGAAGTCAGAAGGACATAATCTTTGTACGGCAAAAGTCTATAATAACTGTTTGCTACAGATCCTTTATAGTTTACTCGTAATACATCCACTGGTTTTCAATGAAACCACAAACATAAAATTAGTTAAATTAAAGGAAATACGCCAAATTAACTAGAGTAACTGCTTTTTCTACGTAAAAATATTTAATATGATATACATGGTCATATAAATGAGTGATACTAGCTATAATTATTTTCCAATTAAAATGCATAAGTGAAATGACAAATCAGTTGGATAAAAATATTGGATATCATGTCAGGCCACATCAGTTGGTCATTTTGCCAGCGACGAGTTGGCCATTACCAAAGTCTAAATTCTCCACTCGATTTTATTTCATCATTGAATTTTTTTGATGCCCCTTATGAATCAACAGGTTGCAGGATGTTAACTAGGTGCAAATTTGTTTAAGCAGTTTTTTAAACAAATTACGAAGGATCGGAAACAGTTTTTTTTAAGTTCACCGTATCATTCTATAATTAGGGTTGGACCAAATTTTCATTATTCTCTGTTCAAACCGCTTAGGTACTCTGAAATCTTTTTTAGGTATCATTAAGTAAGTATACTAAGCTCGAGTAAATTTTCTTATAATACCACATTTTTCACTTCCATTCCATCAAATGGGTGTATGATCCATGGTGGTATTTCCATCGTCAGAATATCATCAAATCTGTTCTTGAAGTCATCATGCAGTTCAATTAAATTTTGAAAAATGTTTAAATATCCTAATCAAGAGGTTCTGACTGTAAAACTTACAAGTTGGCAACCCCCATTTCTTTGTTCACGTTAAGCATTGAAGATTTCTATTTTTTTTGTTTTTCCTATGTGCCCATTCGTCGAGGTCAATGGTGACTTGGCGTCTGGTAATACCTAACCTAGTCTTGAAGCCGATCCATGGGCCTCTAGCCAGGTGATCCGCCTTCTGATTAATTGATTACTCCACAGAGTCTACGGACCAAAGCAGGGTGATTTGTCCAAGATTAGCTAGGTTCTAAAGTGCAGTTATTCATGCCTGAACTAGAGATGATCTTAATCTCGTAGATATACTGCCTTCAGGGCTTGCAGCATATCACTCCCATTATTTTGACAACATCGCCATCATTTGCCGGGATTATGCGATGATAAGAGCACAATGAGATAAATGATAAGGAATCCGAAAGATACGTAAGTATTAGCATACATCAATAAGCGATACCAATAATTTGAAAATTCCATGTTACTTACTCCGTGTCGTTAATTTTCAAATTTATTTCTTTAATTTGCCAACATCGCGGTATATATATATATAAAGATCGCTTCCATTCTGCAAATGTCCAGATTAAGAAGGTGTTTATACCTTTTGAAACCCAGATAATATCAACAATATTCTGCAACTAATCCATTTGCAGGCATTTTTAATCTATATCCATCATTTACAATGCAAACCTAGTGTCTATTCGGACGGAGAAGCAGAAAAGGCTGGTGTAGTTAAGCTAGAGAATTACCAAAAAAACTTTTGGAATGCAACAGTTTAAGGATAATCTGAAATTTCGTTTCAGATGTTTTTCGTCAGTCAATTCACTACTGTAATGGCCTAAACAACATATTTTCTATGGTAATGAAATACAAATTTTTTCAGGAAGTTATTAAGTATATATATTAAAGTAACAAAAAAGAAAATTATCTTGAAAATATATTAAAAAATGGTGGCCCAGTTTTCTCGTAACGCGGTTTTTCAAAACGGCATGCAACATAACTCAAACGTCACTCGTTTTATTTAAATGTTTCACAATATCTTTAAAATAGCATTTTGAAGAGAAATACTTGTGGAATTTTCGATAAGTAAATTTAATTATTATTTATCAATTACCTTTTCTCCTCTAAAGCTGAACGTTTCAAGTCAAATACTCGCCTCCACACAAAAATCATTATTTTTAAAATCCCCTACGTATTTCTTTAGCTATGAACATGTACAATAAGTAGTTATTTTCTTATTCTATATCCAATGTATCAGGCACAAAACATGTGGAATTTGATTGCTGGACAATTTTAAAGAATATCCATATAGTGATAGTTGTGAAAGCCCAGAAGTGCTTTCTATTGGAGATACAGCCTTATTCCTGCAACATTCTACGAATACCATCACCTTTGATGTATTCGGGGAACTGAATTATATAATAAAAAGCACGTGAACACTTACAATATATACAGAGTGTCCCAACGGAAATAAAAAGTTGTTCATTAGAAGAGCTATATAAGTTATTCTAAAACGATTTGCGCAACTTGATTGACATCTTATAGGTGTGCATCTCTAAATTATTTGGAAATATACGGGGTGCTGCACAATTCTATGGCACAACAAATACGTTTTTTTAATGAGACACGCTATAAGAATTTGGAAAGATCTTTCGAAAACAAGAAGATTGATACAATATACTAAAGGATTTTGATCGTCATTTGCTTGGTTGTCTTATCATCTGTCTGAGAAGATGCATGTCCGTGAAGGTTTTTATTTCTGCCATTTTGCGTCGTTTGTTGTCCCACGAAATTGTGCATCATCCTGAATATCTCCAAATAATTTAGAAACACACCTCTTTAAGATGTCAATCTTGGTGCGCACATCGTTTTCAAATATCTGTTATTTTTTTTTATTAAACTACTTTTCATTTTCGTACGTGTTGACCTGATTTTTATTGTATCGCTGAGTCTACGATAAAGACAAGTTTTCGTAAAGTTTTGCAGGCCGGCTTACTCACAGGGGCTAAGGCATTAAACTTTAACATCTGTATCGCCAACAGAAAGAACTTCTGTACTTTGTGGCCACTGGAACATTTTATCAATACAACAGGAACTATTACCATACGAATTTTCATTGAAAGTGACCGGTGGTCAAGTCCCATATATTTTGTTCGTAGTACTTTGCAGCAGCTACATTGCGCGCCACAGGACGCCTCAAATTCTGTGTGACTCGTGAAAATGGCTTCAGTGTCTCTATTTTTGAATATTTTATCATATATTTTTTTTATTCTTTATTGTTAGCTCAGCAATTCCTCCAACATTATTATTTTATCACCGTTTCTTCCACTAAAAAAAAATCAGGTCATTACAGTGGTGTTGCCCCTTAAGGGCGTAGTTTAAAAAATATTAGGTAAACTTTTTTTTAATCAGGCATGTCTCATATTTTATTTATCATCAGACGTGGAAAGCACTGAGTTAACCGAATGATTCTATTTTTCTAGTTTGAAGTATAGAACACTGTAAATATTTCTATTCCATAGGTATTACACGGATTCTGCACAACTCAACGCAATTGCACCATGCACATTCATAATTGTCGATTTAACATTGACCGCAATTCTTTCAATACTCACATTAACTTCCTTTCTTTTTACTTCTCTAGGCTATAATCACCACACTTTCACTAATTCATAGTCTCACTAACACTGTTCAAAAAAATTATAAACGCTGGACTACAGATATATTTTTTTGAGAGAACCAGGTACTACCTAATGAATAGTTACTACCACAGATGAATTTGAATCGTTGCAATCACGTTACCTCTGTATAAATCAATAATTGCCTGTCTCGGTACCGCGGCGCTGCTCTTGATATTGGTTAGTGGTACCGGGTTTTGTGGGTACTAGGACGGGTGCCACGGCTATAGCTCTTCGTACATCGATAATAGTCTGGTACTACGGTACCATATTTGGTATTCGTGCGGAACGCGGGTTGAAAAAATGGCGTCAAGTAGGTTGACTCTGGAGTTCCCATGCAATGCCGTCACCAGTTCATAAAAAAATATCTTCAGTACAAGTTACACCCTCTGAGAAAATAGTTAATACATACATTAAACGGATAAAGTCAGTCAAACAGCCCCACACAATTAGTATATATATATACAGGGTGGCCAAACACGTGACGTCATAAAAAAAAATTAGATTCCCCACATCGAGAGGAACCCAAATCACTCCCATATATATGGTCCGATTTTGTTTAGTTTAGGAGTTATGATTATGATTTTTTTCGGATTTTTCGAGAATTTTTGAGTTCTGTGTTTATTTTTACCATAACTTCGTTAATAATTGTGATAAATGCCTGCTTTTTTCACGATTATGTAGCTAAGACCTAAGGCTTAACTATCATATAATTATTCAAGTCATGTAACTAATACTACTTTTTAATATTTTTCAAAATCTTCGAACATAACAAAAAAGTAAAAAAGTGCAACAACTTTGAACGTTTATAAAAAATTGAAAAAACATGTTCTTACTATTCGTAAGTATCTTAAAAACTTCCTTACGGTATCAGCTATTTACCGTAAAAATTTCATCAACCTAGCTTTACTACATGCTACCGTAATTGTGGCTCAAATAGAACCGAACCCAAAATTGGATAACCCTCTGCTCAATAGAAATTGTTAGTTTCGGAAAAAAAATTTGCAAAAACCACAAAAACACGTTTGATTTTTACTGAACAGCAGATTATTATTCATTTATGTTATTTACAAGAGGTTTTCAAAATGTCTGCCTCTAACAGAAATGCACAGTGTACACCTACGTATGAAATTTTGTTTTAAATCTCTAAATGCTTGTGTGTTGTTTTTCAACACATGTGTCGCTTCTTGAATTTTGTTCCTCAATGAATTTTCATTTGCACATTCTTGGGCGAATGTTATGTCTTTAAAATATCCCCAAACAAAAAAATCAATGGGGTTGAGGTCAGGGGAGCGTGGAGGCCATCGTATCGGTCCGTTTCGTCCGATCCATTAGTCTGGGAACCTTTCGTTTAAGTAGTTTCGCACGATCGTTGCGTTGTGGCATGGTGCACCATCATTCTGGAACACCATGTTCCGTCTGGCTTCCAGGCTTGAATCTTCCAGCAATAATGGTAGGCTATTTTCAAGGAAGCTTTTGTAGGCTACCGAATCCAACCTTGACGGCAGTTCAAATGGACCGATAAATTCGATTCGGATCGCAGAGAAGTAGTACTTGAAGAAATTAGCCGGAATCCCTCAACGAGTACGAGATCTATGGCACAAAACCTTAGAATACCACGAACATCGATACAAAATATTCTTCATGAAGAAGGTTATCATGCCTATCATGTTCAAAGAGTTCAAGCGTTGATGCCTTCAGATTACCAGTTAAGAGTGGATTTCTGCGAGACAATGCTGCGAAGACAACGAGAGGATCCCGATTTTTTTGATAAAATTTTATGGACTGACGAGTCACGTTTTGAAAGAACAGGGATATTCAATATCCATAATTTACATACTTGGGCTGTTGAAAACCCCCACCAGTCAAGGCCGTCGACATTTCAACACCGTTTTAGTGTGAACATGTGCTCAGGAATATTCAATATGGAATTTATCGGTCCATTTGAACTGCCGTCAAGGTTGGATTCGGTAGCCTACAAAAGCTTCCTTAAAAATAGCCTACCATTATTGCTGGAAGATTCAAGCCTGGAAGCCAGACGGAACATGGTGTTCCAGAATGATGGTGCACCATGCCACAACGCAACGATCGTGCGAAACTACTTAAACGAAAGGTTCCCAGACAGATGGATCGGACGAAACGGACCGATACGATGGCCTCCACGCTCCCCTGACCTCAACCCCATTGATTTTTTTGTTTGGGGATATTTTAAAGACATAACATTCGCCCAAGAATGTGCAAATGAAAATTCATTGAGGAACAAAATTCAAGAAGCGACACATGTGTTGAAAAACAACACACAAGCATTTAGAGATTTAAAACAAAATTTCATACGTAGGTGTACACTGTGCATTTCTGTTAGAGGCAGACATTTTGAAAACCTCTTGTAAATAACATAAATGAATAATAATCTGCTGTTCAGTAAAAATCAAACGTGTTTTGGTGGTTTTTGCAAATTTTTTTTCCGAAACTAACAATTTCTATTGAGCAGAGGGTTATCCAATTTTGGGTTCGGTTCTATTTGAGCCACAATTACGGTAGCATGTAGTAAAGCTAGGTTGATGAAATTTTTACGGTAAATAGCTGATACCGTAAGGAAGTTTTTAAGATACTTACGAATAGTAAGAACATGTTTTTTCAATTTTTTATAAACGTTCAAAGTTGTTACACTTTTTTACTTTTTTGTTATGTTCGAAGATTTTGAAAAAAATTAAAAAGTAGTATTAGTTACATGACTTGAATGATTATATGATAGTTAAGCCTTAGGTCTTAGCTACATAATCGTGAAAAAAGCAGGCATTTATCACAATTATTAACGAAGTTATGGTAAAAATAAACACAGAACTCAAAAATTCTCGAAAAATCCGAAAAAAATCATAACTCCTAAACTAAACAAAATCGGACCATATATATGGGGGTGATTTGGGTTCCTCTCGATGTGGGGAATCTAATTTTTTTTTTATGACGTCACGTGTTTGGCCACCCTGTATATATATTATTCCATATATTAATATCAAAAAATAGATATAACAAAAAAAAAATGTTTTTCTGAAAACGAAGTTTGAGTAAATTCTATTTAAAAGGATCAGGTTTGGTCATTTCTATTTGTTTCGTTTTCTTGCCTCCAGCTCCGCCGCCACTAAACACAAACAGCTTCTATAAACATATACCATGTGCTTCAACCACACCACTGAAACAGCAAGAGATACGAAGTGGTTAAATGAGTGCAAATTTGTGAATTTAGGTAACTAGGAAAATTGCACTTCGCAAATCGGGGTATTTCCAGAGATGTACGAAATACCGATAAAATTGCTTTTAGTTTTTCCTAGTTTATTTGAGGTGATATATCAAAATTGATTGCACATCATTGCCATATTTAATTCTCTACAAAGGAGAGGCATGATTGAAATTTCAATATGCGGTTTCGCGTTTTGTCTTCAATCATCATCAAATTTATTTTTTTCCATGGACGCCACACTGGACTTTTGAAGAGATGGATAGAATTTTTGATTAAAAAATATATGGTGTGCCATGTGCGAATATTGTAAGACTATAATTATTAGAAAAAACAGTATTTCCTGGGTGTTATACTTGATGATATGTACATCACGAAAAACCGTCGTTCATTTTCGCGGTCTGTCTGTCTGCTAATCCTTGGTCCGTCTGTAACTTGGAAAATACCGGTTGGATGTTGATGAAATCTTCATACAAGATTACCACTATGCCATGAGGATCCTAACTATTTTTCAAAAATCTGTAGAGGTAAAAAGAATGGGGGGTGGGCGCTGTAGTGGGATGGGAGAGGATATACCTTAATTTTTTTTATGTTAGTATAGTTATACATTCTTAACCTTGGTAATTCTATGCACCTATTAAACATATTATACACATCATAGACTGCTTCGTGGATTTGCCCTTAAAATTTGGAATGAGAAATTATTTTCTGGGATCACCAGCGATCGTGCCTGCCTTGATAAGTGTTCTTCCGAGTTGCCGCGTCTGGCGCATGTCTACACGGTAATTGTGTGGGCCTGTTTGACTGACTTGATCACTTTTATTCCTCAATTATACATAATCCTTTATGAACTGATGACGCCGTCGCGTAGAAAGTGCAAAGTCCTTGGCCGATCTGTAACTCCGAAAATACTACTCGTATTTTGATGAAATTTTGACACAGTGTTACTACTATGTCAAGGACATGGGTTTTGAAAACTGAGCGGAACTGAAAATCAACAGTGAAAAAACAAAAACATATCGCTGATACATTGGTTTTCGACGTTTCAGAGACTCTTGGTTACTTTCAGAAAGAATAATAAAAAAATGGGAGTTGATATCAGTGGAAGACGTTATATTATTAAGAAGGTTCTGAGCTCGGTAATAGTACGCACCTGTTGAACATGATAATCACATATATTTTCCATAAATTAGATGTTTATAATATGTCATATATCTAAGTCTCAAGTGAACATATTTAGTTCTGATTCCATTATAGTCTACTAGATAGACGTGACCTATTTTTTTAAATTATTGAATAAAAGGCTTGAGAAGAGATAGCGTCAATCACCTTGATATTTTTTCTTATCTCGGATTTTGTACTTTTTGTTGCCCATTTCCATGCGTCTATATTATATCAGCATGCCATAGCTCCAGTCAACTAGTTACGGTTACATTTCTGGAAGGTTTTGCTGCCCTATTTGATAATAACTACCAGACTATAAGATCTGTCTCAAATTAGAAAAACACTGACAGACGATTCTAGAATACGGAATATTGGTCATAAGTTGGTGAAAGTGTTTTGATTTTTGCATGGGACAGGCTGTCCGGCAACACATGTGGTCAATGACCTCTTTTCAGACCTCCTCTCGCAAAAACTGCTTGATCTAGTCGTAAATAACGTAATTTCGGTTTGTTATTCTTTTTCTCGATATATTTTTAAAAAACCGAATGTGATTTAATGGTCTTTAATTTTACGTCACCGTCGCAATATTCTACTTCAAGCGCTGATGACTTTTACCCCCGTTCTTTTACTTCCCACCAGTAGGCGAAAAGTTCGAAAATGGGATGTTTTTGGATGTTATACGACACTGTTTTCTCTCCGCTAATCGTTGGCCCGTTTATAACTTGGAAGGTACCGTTCGGATTTGGATGAAATTTTCAAACAAGATACCAAGGATGAACAAACTTTGTAGTTTTTGAAAATCGGTCCAGTGGCGGTGGAGAAAAAGCCCAAGAACTGACAAAATAAAAATAGCTCAAACTTTT